ATTTTCTGCATTTGGCGCTTGCACCGCTTCATGCTTTTGTTCCTTCCTTTTCCACTGCTGGTGTTGAGGAGGCTTCTTTGGTGCATTATTATTACCATGATTAGGATTTCTTCCCCGACCACGGCCATGACCACGACCTCTTCCACGTTTAGCTTGGTGGAAGTTCGTCTCATTCACTTCAGGGAATGGACAAGAACCAATAGGTCGGCTTTCATGATTTTTCATTAATAGCCCATNAAGAAGATGTGAGATAAGTTCAGAATACTTTTTAAATCCCATCTCTCGATATTGCTGCTGCAGGAGCATATTCGAGGCATGAAAAGTGGTGAAAGTTTTCTCCAACATATCATGATCAGTAATATTATCACCACATATTCTAATAGCATATTCGAGGCATGAAAAGTGGTGAAAGTTTCTACGTTTTTTGGCTCATCGACTCTTTGATCGGTTTCTAGTTTCTACCAACAACTGAACTGAGTTGTGTTCAGTTCCTAAAACTGTTGTTTCCTTTTCCTCTCCTTTTTGTTCCAATCCTCAAAATTAAAGTTCCATTTCCCAACAAGAACTTGACGTAGCAATGCCAACTTGAAATCCGTTATGAACTCAATAAACGATGCCTCGATTAAACTTCCAAATAAACTGATTAGAATAGATATACAAAGGATATAGTCATAAACTAAGAAATAGCAACAGAAAGAAAGGAGATTTGGGAGACAAAGCCACAGAGAAAAATAGCGGGGGAGAGAGACTAGAGAGAGAGAAAGTTTCTACAATATTAAGCCTACCCTATCTGTGTTAATGTCTAGTCCCTTTTAACTGATTCCTTATTGCACTTCTTGGGCCTGGATCCCAAATTAATCTTTTTGAAGGTCTTCTGGCCCTGTGGCTTCTTCTCGATCCAATAGTTCTCCTAAGCCCAATAGCTTGATTCATAACAATACTTCTGTCCTCAATAAGAACCTTGTTCTCAAGGTTCGAGAGAGGACACTCCGATGAAAGAAAAGTGGAAGTTGTGTTGATTTGCGCCATAGGAAAGGATTCCCAAATAAAATCCTTCCTGGACACGGTAGAATCAATCCCTGCTCTATCAAATGTTGTGTGCTAGATAGATAAAAGCCGAAGACAATTGGATGCCAATAAAGCCATCAAGAGCACAATTAGGACCAAAAGAAAGTATGGAAGCACTGGAAATATAATACAGCCAACAATCCACACCTTTTCTATGAATCAACTTGTCATCATTTGAAAGTTGCTCAACCAGAGCTATAGCAAGTCCAGGCTCTCTAACGGTCTCGATTAACATTGAGTTCTCGTTTAAACTAATCTCAAGCTTTGCTATTCCAGTGTGCATTTTTTGATTAGCCTCATATCTAAGATCTATTGCTGTAAGAATATCATATCCCCTTTCAGTTTCTTGTAAAGCATATATGAGTTGGTCACACTTTTGATTGAGCCCGTGAATCTCGTCAATTCTTTCCTTCTTTTTCTTATACTACATCATCACATACTGCAGTTTGTCCTTCAAATAAATAAGGTATTTTCTCACTTCTACATGTCGAGCTTTGTTAGCTTTGTATATTTCTTTCTCAAGAGCGTGAAGTTCATCTCCTAGATCAATTTTTGCAGGATGTATCAGAACATGTTTAGCTACCTTACTAATCTCAAGAGCAAATCTTGGAATACGTTGATCTAGAGCTTCAATAAAGGTAACCTCACTACCAAGTGTTCTGTTGACCATAATATTTGGCGGGTGCTCCAGCAAATACCTCGAGCATCCCATGTATTCTCTCATCACCAACAAGCTCTCCCGATTTAGATAACAAGAAACCACAAAGATTTTGCGGATGTCCAGTATCAACCCAATTGCAAGAATTCCAGAAGGCTGATGCTATAAACTTATCAAGCTCCAAGTCGCCTGAAGCAACACAAAATACATAATTTCTTGCAACTCTAAGGAACATAGTAACCAAACTAGAGCCCGGGTCAAATGGGAAATCTAACCCCAACCGCTCCGATGGAAATAGACGCAAAGTTAAGATGGGTGCAGCATAACTAAGTCCAGTGAAGTGATCAAATATACCTCTTTTTATAAGTTGGTCGTAACTACTATTTAAAAGCATACAAGACATCTCATTTAAGCATTGGGCTATCTCAAGTCCATGTTGAATATTAAACATGACAAGGCCACCAAAACTAGAAAAATTAGCAGCAATCCATAATGGTTGTTTCACCATAATTGCAGGAACTAATTGTAGTATTTATTTTCCAATGGTAACAATTTCCTCTTCCTCATTGTTGTCTTTGTTTTCAACAGCATTAGCAAAGTCATTTGCCGCATCACCCAATGCGACAAGATACTCGGGATTAGTAGAAAAATGTGTCTCAATGGTATTCATAATAGGATCTTTAGACCAATCCGATGATTCTGTGAATACTTTGTGCGCCTCATTGTTCTGGTATACAGATGGCTCAACAAAGTATTGCGGCAAAGGGAAGTCAGCATCCTCTTTGTTTTCATCCAAAACCGAGTGACAGATCTCCTCCTTCACTTGAGATGCTGAAATTCTAGCACCTTCATTTTCAATTGATATTTGATGCATTCTCGTCACGACCCTCTGGTTTCACAGATTTTGGTGTTGGTAGCGTTGTTTCAACATTTACAACAATATCAGTATTCATATCCGACTTTTCACCAAACACCTTGTGGGCAAAGATGAAGTTATAGTTGTCTGATCGTGGATTTGAAGATTGGGGTAAAAGCGAGTTGGCCATGGTGCACCATGACGGAATAGCCGCACCTCGTGTCATATAATAGTCTGTTGTTGTAAGTTATCAGAGAAAGGCTAAATTCCCCTTAGGTGCATCCCGATTCCGAAAATGAATAAACAATTTGGCCACAAAGTGGTCCCAATCCGCAAGTTGTTTGTTTCGATATAACCAATAATACCAATCCAAAGCCTCGCCATCCAAATATAAAGAAGCCAACGATAATTTATGATCAGAAAAAATATTATAGCGGGTGAAATACTGTTCTACCTGGAATACCCATGCCATAGGGTTATCGCCGTTGAATCTGGGTATTGTCACCGATGTAGCTTCCATGGATGAATACAAACCAAAGCTAGAATGTTGGATGTTGGGGTCTACCATGGTAGACAAGTCAATGAAAGCACCAATGTTATGAACTCAACAAAATGATGCCTCAATTAAACTTCCAAATAAACTGATTAGAATAGAAATACAAAGGATATAGTCATAAACGCCTAGTCCTTTTTAACTGATTCCTTATTGCACTTCTTGGGCCTGGATCCCAAATTAATCTTTTTGAAGGTCTTCTAACCCTGTGGCTCTCGACCCAATAGTTTTTCTAAGCCCAATAGCTTGATTCATAACCAAATCTGCCATAAGGAAAATTGATGCACACTTTCACAAGTCACAACAGCACAGAGTTGCAGCTCTTCAGCAGCTGGAAAATCTCTAGCTTTACCAAGTCGATAGTGGTTAAGCACCACTAACTTCCTTCACTGTCTATGTTGACTGATGATGACAACGACGCTGGTAGCATAGTAACCCCTAAAGGAAACGCACGTAAGGAGAAGACCAAACGATGATAATAATTTTCTTTCTCAATAATGCTAGTGTTTAGAACAGCTTGCACACCTAGATTATTTCGTCAGGTATCTGCCATCTCCCACCAGCACAGGATAAGACTATCCACCAATGACAATAATGAAGATAAGATGATCGAAAATAAGGCTGGAAAAGCTAGGAAAAAGACTAGTCAGGACCGAAATTGGAATGTTCACCAAAGGAAGCCAGATTATAAGGTTTCCAGCTAAAACAAAAGATGTTTCACCCTATAGAGTATAACAGCCAGATAAGCAAAAGAAACGAAAAAGGGAGAGAGGGGAAAAGAAACAAGCATCCCGGGGAGTTGAACAACAAATCTGAAAGTCCATATATCAATGAATATTTTTAATAATACAACAATGCTTAGGAAAGAGATATCAAAACCATGTACAGACTTTTACACAAGAACAAAGGTTGACAAGGAAATGTAGAATATGCAAACATTGATACCAAAGAGGTAAGGGAAGGGGCGTGGAGGAGAGGATTATAAATAATGTAATATATGTATTCAAGATAACAAGCATCTTCATGTCCAATCAGATGATGTGAACTGCAAAAACCAATGAAATGGAGGTGAAATCAATCTATCAACGAAAAAATATAATGAATATTTTGATTTGGATATAAACATAAGATTTTGAGACAATTTCATCAACCCTGAAGCTTTTTGACTACTGCAGCCATATATTTGCCCTGGTGTTCAGCAAGCGCCAACTCCGTTTCACTAGCTTCTCTTGTGCCATCACCAGCAAAGACCCCAGCACCATACGGAGTACCCCCTCGGATGGAGTCCATTTTGAACATACCAGCTCCAAAAGTGTATCCAATTGGAACAAACAGCATACCATGGTGGGCTAGTTGGGTGATAGCTGTCCAACTACATATAAACACCACAATAGTGAGCAGTGACCTCTTCCCTCCTTTTCAAGAGGTAACATTGAAACAGGCACTATACAAGGCTATCTCATAAGCTAGAAGCTCGAGAGACGAAACTATTGACATAAGGAGATCCGGTCCCATTAAATTTCAAAGAAGCAAAAAGGTAAATAGTGACAAACAAGTCCTAGAAAAAGCAAATGATTTTTTTATAGGTAATAGCAATGAGTGATTTTTATGCTACTTGATTAGGTACTTTATGATGTTACAGCGGCTGGAGAAGCAATTAAGTCTGTCGGCCTATTTGAAACTCTTAATGCAACAAGGTCTAGAAAGCAACCAGGCGCTGCCCCTACTAGCAGTACATAAACTATATGATTGCACCGATTAGAGTTTTAAATTTTATAACCAATGGCACAAAATAAAACTAAACATGGTCTTAAAGTTTTTCACCAGTTGCACAAAATTTTAAACTAAACATGAATACCTCAAAAGTACAAGATTTTCTTATATTACCTTAACTAATCTTTTGTGCAATATCAGAAAATTACTTTGGAAAAGATAACAGTAGCAACTAATCAAGCAACGCCTCAATCCCAAAGTTGCAGTAGACTATGTGAATCCTAAATAACCATTTGGCTATATTAGTCCCTCCTTCTTTCAAGTAGGTAACGTTGAAACACGCTATGTATAATTCATGTAATCAAAAGATTTTAATAGCTTCTAGAGTACCATTAAAATAATGGGTTATCCAATAAATTAGAAGTTAGTACATTAATCTGTTCACATAAGGAGATCTCACCCATTAAAATCTCAAAGGCAAAAGAGGTAAATGGTGATTGGTGACAAATAAATCCTAGAAATAGCAACAAGTGATTTTTATTCTACTTGACTAGGTATTTTACAATACTAGTGTGGCTGGAGAAGCAATACAACTGTCAACCTACTAGAAATCATACTGTGACAAAATCTACAAAAGTAACTAGGCATATGCAAGTATTCCTCTATTAGTACTATGTAAACTGTTTAACCAAGACTACAAAAGTTAAACTAAAGCATGGATACCCCATAATACAAGTGTTATGGGCACACCCAAGGGTGCGTCCTAGTGTCACTAAAGTGGGTTGAGAACTATGAGGTCTCAAGTTCAAATCTCACCGGAGGCAAAGACACTAGGTGATTTCTTCCCATCTGTCCAAGCCTTGGTGGACAGAGTTTCCTATGACCTATTGCTGGTGGGAGGTGGCAGATATCGCGCGGAATTAGTCGAGGTGCATGCAAGCTGGCCCGGACAACACGATTATTAAAAAAAATACCACAAAGGTTAAATAAATCATAGATACGTCATAATACAAGTTTTATAGTAGCATACAATTATTTTGGGCAAAACAACAACTACCGCTGCGCTTCAATTCCAAGCAAGTTGGGGTTGACTAGATGAATCCTCTATGTCCATGTTGCTTCACTTAGGCTCATCTTAGTCAAACTAGTCTTAGCAGACGCGCATTGCGCATGTCCCTCGTGTTAATGAAAATAAATTTCTAAAAACAACATAAAAAAAATTAAAAAAATGTATTTACGTTATAATATAGAAATTAATAAAAAATAATAAGTTCAAAATGATAAAATTAATCATATTTAGAAGTTTGATCTACTCTAGTAGTTTTTCATTCAGCTTGTTCTTGTACTTGCTTCATTGTACAAAAAATAAAAATGGACAAAAAATTTGAGTATACTTCCAGTTCTAGGTCTTTCTATTGTTCAAAGGAAAAAGAGCGTCCTAATTGCTCTTCAAAGTCTAAAATATTATCTACCCCCTACCTTAAATATGAATTATCATTGATTCTTCCATATATTTTTTTTATATCAAAATTGTGTTTTTCACTCATTTTTTTAACGTGCTCTTTATTAGCATAAAAATTGCAGGATGAGTTAGTTACTTTAATTTTCATTTATTTACTCCTTTTTCACAGAATATAAATCCATGAAAAGTAACATATAAGAAATATTATTATGCTACATATATAGTTCAAATAAAGAAAAAAGTTTATGTAAGGTAGATTTTTAATTGACTTTAAATTCTTAAATTTTAGGACTTCTTACCTCGTTCAAATAAGTAAATATTTAATAATCAAATTTAGCCGACTTCAAAGCACTAAATATTAGGATAATAATTAAATGACTATTTTTTCTAGTGGGGACTCTATTTTTTAAGGGTAAAAAAGGTGAACGACATTTCACTAAGGATCTTCGTGCTTTTAATATAGTAAGTATAGATGTTATATAACATAGAATTTGATTAAAAGAAAAAAGTTTCTCTGGCACATATATCTCTGGCAAAAGATTAAAAGACTCCTAGTAGAGATGGATCTAAAGTAAACGTACTAACATGACTAAAACTTAAGTCCAACTAATTGGTATTGCCTAACAGATCTTTTCCTTCGATTGTGCCCTGTTTTAGAAAAGATAACAATATCAACAATTACACATCGCCCCCAAAATCAGGGTCAACTATGAATTCTCACCATACCACTTTACTCAGACCAGTCCTCCCATATCATTAGAAAAGATAAATTAATTCTTAAAAATATTAAAACTTTAACCAGCACACTTACTTGGTCAACACTTGTAATAGCAAAATTATATGACCACATCATACACACCAAAACAATAAAATGCAAGTAAGGACTCGAGGTGTTATAATATCTATCTTGACCTTCAAGTCGTCTGAAATGCCTGGTTAAGCAGTAAACACCTATCAAAGCTATTAGAAAGAACTTACAGAAAATTCACCTAGTCTTTCAGACTTTTGTTCATAGAAACACCCACTTCATAGCAGGGCACAAAGATTAACTATTCTTTTCACAAGATAGAAAATTTCAGATATCCAGTGTTGACTAGTCTCCATTCTCAGTTTAGATGCACATTACAATTCTCAAGTAAAGGAAGAGTAGTGTCTATTTGTCAACACTAAAATCCCAGTTTTAATAACAAACCGCCATTTCTGCAACCACTGCAATAATTTTTTTGGGGAGCGCAGATGTAATCCATAACATGGTACAAATTCTTAATAGACTTAAAGTATGCAACAACATTTCCACCATTCTGCATGAGGAATATCAGGTGTCCTTTATTGCATGAGAGTCATTTCATAACTTGATAAATATGCATGAGGAAAATCAAGTGAAAGACATATTTATTCTGGACTTAGAGACTCTGGTTAGGAAAGCTCCTTCAGAAATATGCTCTTTTTATGCAATTTGGTGAATTCCATCTGAGTTTGTTGAAAGCATTTTTTGGGACAGAGAATAGTGCTTCGCTTTTCTGTAGGACCAAGTGGCTTGTTCATTTCTTAGGCACTAGAGCTTTAGATGCTCTCAATGCATTCCTTCCACCTGATTATCAAAAAAATAAATGCATTCCTTCCATCCATTTACATTTGGATGGAATGTTGCATCTAAATTGTGTTTGATATTTACGCATTACATGGTACATAATGGGATTGATGATTTTTTTTCCTTTCACAAATTGGTTTGTTCCATGTGTAGCTTGTTTTCGCAATTTTGCCTCAGATACGATCATTATATCAAAGCAAAATCAGCAACTCTTCTAATGTCTCAAGTTGCTCATTAGCCATTAGACATGAAAAACCCAGCTAATCTACATCAATAAAGAGTAATTGGTTCCCAAAAGTTGGGTTTGGTACTTCATCACAATAAAAGGTGTGACCAAAGGCGGAACCATCATATAAGCAATGATGCGCGCACACACCCACTACCTTGGACTAGGACTAAACACAACATGCACACAGGCACACACATCTATCCATCATATAAGCAATGGTGCACGTGCATCCTCTACCTCATAGTAGGACTCTATATACACAAAACACACACATACACTCTCTCTTATAGCCCGCCGCATACCTGCATTACCTACTTCTAGAATGTTCACAAAGTAGATGGATCTGCGGATAGTCATATAACAACTCAATCCAAAAGATTAAACAATTATCGAGATCAAAACATCTACACAAATTAAGCAATCCAAAACGGTTAAAGTCTTACGCAGTGGTTTCTTGTCCACCTCCTTGAGTCCCAGTACTAACAAAAAACCCAGCAGGCTTCCCCGCAAGCTTCTGCTCCCTCCACAACTGTCCAGTAGAATCAAAAAACGCCTTCATTTGAGCCGCCATGGACCCATACCTAGTCGGAAACCCAAACAAGAACCCATCAGCACCAGCAAGCTCATCTGGCGAGGGTATTTCCGGAATTGAATCATCCTTCACTGGGGCCCGCATTTGAACGAGAACCTCTTCTGTTAGGGTTTCGGGAGCCCGATAAAGAACTGCTTCCACACCATCCACTGCTTCTACTCCTTTCTTCATTTTCCTTGCTAAGCTCTCCACGTGTCCGTACATGGAATAAAATATGATGAAGATTTTCAGGTTCTGGGTCTGGGTCTTTTCGGGAACTGAGTCTCTGGCGGATTCGGTTGCTGAAACGGCGTCGTTTGTGGCAGAATCGGGCTCGACGGCGGGGATGGGGGGTGGTGGATTGTGGGAGGTGGATTTGGAAATCTTTTTCTTGCTGGGTACACAACCACCTCCTTTACCCATTATAGTATGAATTCAATTTTAGGAGTGTTGATTGGGGGGTTTTATTAGGGTTTCAATAGTGAGAGATTTGGATCGGAACTGATGGGCAGTGGCCGGCGGAGATGGGGGATAGGACTTAGGAGTGATGATGATGATGAGCTCGCCGTGGACTTTGCTGGGACATGCTACCAGAAAGAAGCGGCGTCGTTTTAAGTTTGACTTTTTGTTTCTTACTTTCAAAACCGAACCAAAACCGATAACCGAACCGAAATCGAAGCTTAACGGCTTATTGGTATCGGGTTAACGGTTTAACAGACGGGGAACGAATTGAAATTTATTGATTAACGGCTGCTAATCGGTTTTATGGCAGATTATTCAATTTTCTTAACGGATAATCCGTTAACCCGTTAAGAATATATATATGTTAAATATCAAAAATCCTTCCACTTCCGGTACTCTATCTCTAACGCTTAATTCCTAAATAATCAAAAACCTTAAAGCCTGAATTTCAACCAGCAGGTATGTGTACCCTACTGTATGATCTCTCTCTGCAATTTGAATGGTTTAGTTGAATGGATATTCAGTAGCATATGATCTTAAATCAATAAGGAAACAGTAGTCTTTTCCTCCATTGAAACATTACTAGGCTACTTGTATAATGTTGTTGTATGTAATGAATAAGGAAATATTGTTTTCTCAGTTTGATGATTATGATCGCTCTTCAATGCATATAAATAATGACTGGTAAAGTTATTCCCATCCATATTCTTGCTTTTCTATGTGATGGTTGGCAACCATTGCTTCATCTTTTCACTCTACACCACATGACACACTACATCATTCTTACGTAGGCGTTAATTATTAATGCACGCAATATAGATTGAATTAGGCCGATAAATCGCCCAATAACAGCCCGATAAAATCTAAACCGATACCAATCCGCTCGATATCTTATCGGGTGGCTAACGGATTAATACATTTAAAAGCCGATAACCGTTAAGAGTAATTAATCGCTCAATCCGCCCGATAAGCAGCCCTAGCTACTAGTCTTTTTTTTTTGTAGAAAAGGGTTTAAAATACCCCTAAACTATTTGTAAAATGTTTAAAAATACTCTTTAAAAATACTTTTCATTCACCTATTGGGCTAAAAATGCCCCTTCATCCATCTTTTTGGTTCACTTATGACCCTTGACCATTAGGTCAATGCTGAATTAAAAGTTATAATTATTCAAATTTCACATGTTAACTTCTTATTACCCAAAATTAAAACATCTAACTCATTAGAAAGATCCGCCCATATCTAACAATTATTCATACTAATCCGCTTCAAACACTAACTCGATTCGAACAAAAATGTAGCTAAAAAAAAATGCCCCACTTTTATCAAACTCCATGTAACAAAAGCTTCATGGAAGTTGCAGCGAACATATAGACACAAATTTACTACGTGATTTTTTTTTCTTGTTATGTCATCCAGTTCAATTTACATGATAGACACAAATTGCATTATATTCAAGATGAGTTTAATTTAATCATTTTCACATAACGAAAAGATCTCAAAGTGATTGTTGGTAAGATATCATAAACCGTTGGACTATTCCTAGTTTTTCGTCCCATATTATTGTCAAAAAATCATTGGCTCATTCATGTTAGGCTTTTCTTGTTTGTTTAATTTGTTCATGAACCTTTATTCGATGATAATACTATACATGAGATTAATCAAGTAAATTAACACATGTAAATCCATGGGTTAGATGGGAGTGAGCGTCTTTTTATTACTTGAACTTTTTATTCGAGTCAGGTTAGTTTTTGGGGCTGGTTAGTCCGAAAATAGGTAGATATGGGTGGGTCTTTCGAATAGTTAGATATTTTAATTTCGATCAATAAGAAGTTACCACGTGAAATTTAAATAATTATTTTTAAAATTCAGCATTGACCTAACGGTCAAAGAGCATAAGTGAACCAAAAAGATGGATGGAGAGGTATTTTTTAGCGTGGATAGAGGCATTCTTCAATAGTTTAGGGATATTTTTTACCCTTCTCTGTTTGTTTAAAGGTATAAAGAAAAAGTTCGAGTTCTTTTTCAGAAAAAAATGCAAGATGATCCTTATATGTTTAGGAGTTTATTTACACTAGTCCAATAAATATAGGATTGAACAATTTTAGTCCTTTAAATTTTTTGAAAGTTAGCACTTTTGATATTCGTCAAGTATTTAACAAACTCTAGTTGTAAGATTTTAGTGGGGTAGATGAAATGGAGGTTAGCATCTGAAGTCCTGTGTGACAAGAAAGTGCTACAGAAACTTAAAGGTAAGTTCTATAGAGCGGTGGTTAGATCGACCATGTTGTATGGGGTGAGCGTTGGGCAGCCAAGAATTCTCATACCCTGAAGATGAAAGTGGCAGAAATGAGGATGTTAAGATGGATGTGTTGGCACACTAGGCTGGATAAGATTAGGAATAAATATATTCGGGAGAAGGTGGGCATGGCTCCCATGGACGACAAGATGCGAGAAGCGGGACTTAGATGGTTCAGGCACATACGAAGGATAAGCATAGATGCCCCGATTAAGAGGTGGGCGGTTGACATTGGCAGGTATGGGAAGAGGTAGAGGGCGGCCTAAGAAGTGTTAGGGTGAGGTGATCAGGCAGGACATGGCGCGACTTCAGATCTCCGAGGACATGTCTCTGGATAGGAAGATGTGAAGGTCGAGCATCAGGGTTGTAGGTTATGAGGGAGTCGAGTGTTTTTCTATGTTGTACCTGGGCGGGGCTAGTCTGATAATGTTTCGCCTCGGGTTGTTAGTGGTTTATGTAGTTTTCACACAATTTTCTATGGCATTATTACTGGTTATTGTTATTACTTTTACATCTATTTTCTGTTTTCTTAAGATGCTGATATTATTTTCTGGCTTCTGTTATTGTCACTAATCTATTACATATTGTTTATTGTCTATTATTTATTTTCTTCTTCTTGAGTCGAGGATTTTTCAGAAACAGCTTCTCTACCCCTTCGGAGTAGGAGTAAGGTCTGCATGCACTTTACCCTCTTCAAACCTCACTTATGGAATTTTACTACGCTGTTGTTTGTCTTTTTTTTTTTGGTTTTTAAGATTACTTTATATTAATTAGTCAAAATATTACAGGGAGCTTTTGCCCGTAGGCATTGATACAAAAAGCCTAGGAGAACTATTAGCGGCAGTGTTGTGCCATTGTACATTACAAGGATAATTAAAACTACTACTACTACTATGTTGCAAAATAGAACTAGTACTACTCTTCTGGCCGGCATCTTGCAATATGGCTGCTCTTACAGGAGTAAAGCTTGTGGAAGGTGCTTCAGTGTGGGTACCAAAGGAGTGTGTTGAGTCCATGAAAAAAGTATTGCTTTTTGTTACCCTTCTAATCTTTCCATATCCATGCTTGTCATGCAAAAGGTCCTGCCATATGAAGTGAGGAGGGTCTGCAAAAAAGGTGATGGTAGTACCCTCCAGTTCCATGCCAAAATATGCTAGTTTGTCAGGTACTATATTCTGCTCCCTGTAAGTATGTCTGAGTTGTGGACTGCTCAATTGTTGGATCAGGAACCTGCAGTCAAGTAAAATGGGTGAGTTTAGTGAGTTGTTGTTGTTGATCATTGTTATTACCTCTTGTGCATCCATCTGGATTTGAAGTGGAGTTAAACGATGCGTAATTGCCATTTGCAAGCTACGTAGTAATACCTTGAGTTCAATATTGATAACACTGGTAGAGGGAGAATAACCCGCATAACCCATATCCAATTGCCCTTGTAGTCTCCGAATACCCCGCCAAAGCCTGCACGTATTTTGTCCTGTTTAATAGCTCCATCCGTATTCGGACAAAAAACTGTGGGTGGTGGTGGGTTCCATTTAACATACATAGATATTTGGGTGCATGGTTTGGTAGAGTGATTAACAAGGTATTGATAATCCTGGGTGTGTTGTAGAATTGTGGAAATTGAGGGTGTATGGTTTGGACTCTCAAAACAGAACTTATTTCTAATATTCCAAAGGTGCCACAATGTGAAGGGAATGATTAGTTGTAGTGGTATGTGAGAGTTAACTAGTGTACCCTTTTAAAGGACAAGTGTTTTTAACCAACAAGTGTTAGTGTTTGTATTAGTAGTTAATGAATTTATAAAGGGGTATAACCCTTCCCAACATTGTTTGGCTCTAGAGTAGTGAAGTACTATATGACTTATGGATTCTTCCTCATTATGGCAAATGTTGCACATGTTAGACGAGATTATCCCTAGCCTATGGAGATACATATTGGTAGGTAATCTATTATGACTAATGAGCTATAGAATTTTTATTTTTATTTTGGGTAGCATATGAATTTTTCATATCCACCCATGATTGTTTCCCGTATCATTGGGTGGCTGGAGCATTTTGTAACAAGAACTAACAGTGAAACATCCTTTAGGATTGACACCCCAAGTGACTTGATCGGGCCTTTGTTCATAAGGAGATAAGTATGTCGAATTGATTAAGTGGGTTATATGGCTAGGTAATTCAAAAGAAAAGGAGAAGGTTGATTCTCTATCAAGAACTAACAGTGAAGCATCCTTTAGGATTGACACCCCAAGTGACTTGATCGGTCCTTTGCTCATAAGGAGATAAGTATGTCGAATTGATTAAGTGGATTATATGGCTAGGTAATTCAAAAGAAAAGGAGAAGGTTGATTCTCTATCAATATTTAATGCTTGAGAAACTGTTAGAATCGCTTCATGGTTGGTCAGAGGGACATGTATGAGGCTTCAAATATTAGTGTTTGGGGGCAATCCAATTATCACTCCAAAAGAGCACACTGGTGTCTTTATTAACTTGCCATTGGAGGCCTAGTTGGCGGGTTTGCCACTCTTTCATAACGTGTTTTCAGAGTACGAAGGGTTTTTTTGAATGATGACGTGGGTGATTTGTATATTTATGAATGAGGAATGAAATCCAAAGGCTTTGAGGGTTATGGAAAAGTCTCCAAGCGGTAGCAGCTAGTAGAGCTTTATTTTTATGGAGAAGTCGTTGGATGCCTAAGCCCCCCTGATCCTTGTAAGTAGTGATGGTATTCCAATGGAGAAGGTGAAGCCATCTTTTTTGAGGAGTGGAGCCCCACAATTTTTTTTTTGGTAGGATTATAATCGATTGACCACATAGGAAGGAATTGATACGATTTGTATAACGTGGTTGAGAATGGTACTAAGAGTAGCCTAGATTAAGGTGGTGCATCCTGCTATGTTAAAGGTGATTTGTTTTCCAGCCGGCTAATCTATTTTTAAAATTATTTATTAAGAATT